AAGTGGTGGTTTAATTTTCTACACTGTCCCTCCCAGCTTGGTTTCAGGTGGGTTAAAGAGCTTCTGCAATTTGTTAATATAAACATTCTTCCCATATGTAATAGCCATAATTTAGGGGAAAAATGAAGTATATTAAAAAGCATGAGGGCTTCTTCCTAGGAGAAGGTGGGTTTCACTGTTCACACACACCTGCACCTCCTCCCTGTGGCAGAAGCTCCTCTGGGCTGTGGTTGAGGCTCAGAAATGCAGTTCCAGCACAAGCCTTGCTCTGGGTGAATGATGGCAACCCTTGAGATCCTGCTGTCAGTCCAATTTCTGCTCGGAATAACTGGGGTTGTTGATGACAGATTGCAGGAAAGGCAGTGTAATTTTTTGCATTTTATGTAATTTATGTAATTCCCTCTGCTTTAAACATCATGCTGTTGTGCAACCTTTCCTGGCTGTTTGCTCTTCCCTCTTTGTCTGATCCCTTCCAAAAAAAAACCAAAACACTGAGGTGTCACTTCATGACCTTCCCTTGGGTGGATTCCTACTGAAAATGCTCCTGGGGAATTTCTGGAGCAACATCTTCCACCCACATGTGGGCTTCTGTTGGCTTCTGGAATTCTCCCTTTGTTCCCTGTGGCAGCAGGAAAATTCCTGGTTAAGTTGGATCTGGTTTGGACTCTCCAAGCAGATTTAATTTCTAGACCCAGAGTCTGGAAAGTCTCATTATTCTACAGAGCCCTTCCAGAACCTCCAGCATCAGGGAATCCCTGGTGGAAACAATCCTGTGGCCTCAGTATTTGAGCAGATCCTTCCTCAAAGGCACCTCAAGGACCAGGTCTGGTTCCCAGTTTAAATTCATGGCTGTTTGCAATGTATTTATTCAAAATAGCTGCTTTGGAGCTGTAATGAAGATCAGCCTGAAGCCAGATTGTGGGAAGAAGGGACATAAATTCTCAGGTGCTGCTTGACTTTATAGTTTAACTTTGCATAAAAGGAGATATTTCAGCTTGGCAGCACTGCAGCTTATCTGAGAGATGTTGTATATTTGGGGCTTTACTGCTCCTCTAAAGCACAGAATCAAAATGCTTTTTTTCACTAATTAAGCAGCAAATTTGTTTGTGGCTCCTGTGAGCCCTAATGATGATTTTCTGTCCTTGGCTGTGTTTGTAGATGTGAGGGGGAAAGGTCTGTGCTTGGGGCTTTTTTGGGGCAGCTTTAGGTTCTTTCAAGGGAGATCTTGTCACAGTAAACATCTCAAGAGAAGCTTCAAAAGAAAAAAACTGAAATTATTTTAAAAACAGTATTCTGGGCATTGTCCTTTGGCATTCCCTGTTTCAGTGATGATTCTCTAATGTTGAGCACTGAATTTCTGGAGTGCTGGAGAAATACCAGATGCTCATGAGCTGGGCTGTGAAACACCTCAGCTCTTCTCCTTTACACCCTGAAATGTTTTAAGGGTTGTCCAGCCATGACGGAGGGAAATCCTGGGAATCTGGGGAGCTCCAGGGAGTTTCCTCCAGCCCCAAATCCCACATTTAGAGCAGCAGCATCTACATGCAGGAAGCCTTCAGCTGTCCAAGTCTGCAGAACTGAGGGGTTTTACAGCACTACAATGTTTTCCCACTATTTCTTGTACTAATCAAAGCATTACATTCATCTTTTATTTATGCTTTTTGAAATTCTCTTGTTTTAAAACAACCTGCATGCATGTCTTCATTGACCTGGTTGGGTGTGCTGTTGAATTTTGATGTTTTGAGTCTTGATCAGCTTCAAAACATGCAAATTCTGTTGTTCTGAGATGTGTTTTCCATAAGGCTCCTTGCTCATTGTTAAATTGGGGGGCAAAGCTACTAAAAGCTTGTTAGTTTTAAATAAGTTTTTCTAGATTTATGGTTCTCGTAGTTTCTTGTGTACTGGTGGAATTTGGGATTATTCTCCAAGTGATTTTGACAATTTTTAATGGAGTAAATTAAGAGCAGCTCCTCAGTTGTTAAGAGGAAAGAAGTGGTGAACCCTTAATCAAACCTGACCACTGATTTAATTACTGATCTTTAATAAGGTTGTTGATACATTTGGGCATTAATGGTTTCAGAGTTTCCTAAATACCCTCACAGATCCCAGAATCCTGGAATGGTTTGGGCTGGACCATCCTTAAATCCCATCTCATTCCAGTCCTGCCATGGCAGGGCCACCTTCCATGGGCCAGGCTGCTCCAGGTGGGCCTGGGCACTGCCAGGGATGCAGGGGCAGCCCCAGCTGCTCTGGGCACCTGTGCCAGCCCCTTCCCTCTCTCCAGGGAACAATTCCTTCCCCAGATCCCATCCATCCCTTCCCCTGGCTCCTTGTTCAGACACAATCTCCATTTTTCCTGTCGGTTCCACACTTCAGGGCTTTGAGGCTTCACTGAGGTCCCCCAGTCTGAGGGCCATTTTCCAGTGGCATTTCCTGCAATCCCTTGGAGTGGATCCATGCCCAGTGCCCCATGGATGGCACGTGGCTCATTGGTGGCTGTTGATGAGATTTTTGCTGTTTGGAGAAACACCAGGAGTAAAGTGGCAATATGTCCGGTTTT